TGAAAGACGCATGTGCGCAGCGCTACGGCGAGAACCATCTCTTGAAAAGGAACCGTCCTTCAACCGTGAACGCGCTGCATTTTTCAGACCACTGTGCACGGCGTTAAGGCGGGAGCCACATTTGGAACACCATCCCTTTTCATTCGTGACGCTTTTGTGAACTTGTAAGGCGAATGTGCGCAGCGCGAAGGCGAGATCCACATTTTCAAAGCCACCCGCCTCATCCGTGACACTGTTCCGAACTTGTAAGGCGAATGTGCGCGGTGCTAAGGCGAGAGCCACATTTCGAAAGCCACCTCACTCATCCATGAAGCTGTTGCAAACTCTTCAGACGAATGTGTGCGGCGTTTAGGCGAGAGCCATATTTGGAAAGCCCCCCATCCATCCGTGACGCTGTTGCAAGCTTTTGAAGGCAATGTGCGCGGCGCTAAGGCGAGAATTTCACATAGAAACCGACTGCCCTACAGCGTTGAAGCTATTGCAAGTTTCAAGCTTCAGGATCAGGAGGAGGTTGACGAGAGGGCGGATGAGGAGAAGACGAGGGTGGGTGGGGGTGGGGGGGAGGGCGAGCGGGAGTGGGTAGTAGTAGTAGTAGTAGTAGTAGTAGTAGTAGTAGTAGTAGTAGTAGCAGTAGTCGTAGCAGTAGTAGTAGTAGTAGTAGTAGTAGTAGTAGTAGTAGCGTAGTAGTAGTAGTAGTAGTAGTAGTAGTAGTAGTAGTAGTAGTAGTAGTAGTAGTAGCAGTAGTAGTAGTAGTAGTAGTAGTAGTAGTAGTAGTAGTAGTAGTAGTAGTAGTAGTAGTAGTAGTAGTAGTAGTAGTAGTAGTAGTAGTAGTAGTAGTAGTAGTAGTAGTATAGTATTATTATTATGATGATTATTATTATTATGATTATTATTAGTAAGTAGTAGTAGTAGTAGTAATAGTAGTAGTAGTAGTAGTAGTAGTAGTAGTAGTAGTAGTAGTAGTAGTAGTAGTCGTAGTAGTCGTAGTCGTAGTAGTCGTAGTCGTAGTAGTAGTAGTAGTAGTAGTAGTAGTAGTAGTTAGTAGTAGTAGTAGTAGTAGTAGTAGTAGTAGTCGTAGTCGTAGTAGTAGTAGTAGTAGTAGTAGTAGTAGTAGTAGTAGTAGTAGTAGTAGTAGTAGCAGTAGTAGTAGTTAGTAGTAGTAGTAGTAGTCGTCGTCGTCGTCGTCGTCGTCGTCGTCGTCGTCGTCGTCGTCGTCGTGGTGGTGGTGGTGGTGGTGGGGTGGTGGGTGGGAGGAGGAGGAGGAGGAGGAGGAGGAGGAGGAGGAGGAGGAGGAGGAGGAGGAGGAGGAGGAGGTTAGAGATTGTTGGAGGAAAGGAGAGAGAGAGAGAGAGAGAGAGTGAGAGAGAGAGAGAGATAACAAAGAGAGAGAGAGAGAGAGAGAGAGAGCCTCTGCGCCCCTGCCTGCCGCCGCTGCTGCCGTTCTCTCCCGGCGAGCGCGGCCGAGCGCCCAGAGGAGCACCAGCCCGGGAAGCTTCGGCAAGATGTCCAGGCGCGAGGCCCTGCGGCACTGGGAGGACGCACCGACCCTCGCCGCCGCCACGCCGCCCTGCCGCCGTTCCCGCGGCTCGGCCCCACTGAGCTGTCCTCCTCCTGCTCCCCCTCCTCCTCCTCCTCCTCTTCCTCCTCCTCCTCCTCCTACTCCTGCTCCCCACTGAGCTGTCCCCCTCCTCCTCCCCTCCTTCGGCCGTCGCTTCCCTTGGGGGTGGCACCCGCCCGGCAGTTTAGAGCTGGGCTGCTCTGTCCTTGGGTTTTTTTTTGGTTTGTTTTTGTGTAACGTCCGAGGGATCGCTGGTCCCGGGCCGACAGGTCCTGGCCAGAACCCTCGGCGGCCGCTGGCGCTCTTCGTGAGAGGCCCCTTCAGGCTGCGCGCCTCCTTCCCGGACCCCCGACATCACGTCTTTTTGAGAGCGTGGACCCCTCGACCCTTACGGTCCACAAACAGAACGAGCTCCGGTATCAGAGTCGCTTCAAATTCCTACGAAGTGATATTGGGCGCTCTCCCTCGTCCTCTTCGTCCCCCTCCTCCTCCTCCTGTTCCCTTCCCCGGCCTCCTCAACCCGCTCATACTCCCCCGCCCACCCATTTCCCTCATTCCCCATCGCTCTCCCTGCTTCTCCCCCGGCTCAGGAAAGAATCCGCCGCTGCTAGAGCGAAGGCAAGACAAATGATTCTCCCCCTTCCGCCCGTCCGTCCCTCCGTCCGGCGGTGGCTCGCTGTGTCCCGCGGTGTCCCGTTGTGTCCCGTGGTGTCTGCAGTTGCTAGGGCGAAGTCAAGACAAATGATTCTCCCCCGCCCGCCCGTCCGCCCGTCCGTCCGGCGGTGGCTCGCGGTGTCCCGCGGAGTCCCGTTGTGTCCCGTGGTGTCCCGTGGTGTCCTGTGGTGTCCCGTTTAGTGAGATCGATATTGTGATCGATAGTGGGGTCGATAGTGAGATCGACAGTGAGATCGATAGTGAGATCGATCGTGAGATCGATATGGTGCCCCGAGGTGTCCCGTGGTGTCCCGTGGTGCCCCCAAAAGTGAGATCGATAGTGGTATAGATAGTGAGATCGACAGTGTCCCGTGGTGTCCCGTGGTGTCCCGTTGAGTGAAGTCGAGAGTGGGATCGATAGTGATATCGATACTGAGATCGATGTGGTGCCGCGAGGTGTCCCGTGGTGTCCCGTGGTGTCCCAGACTGTGAGATCGATAGTGAGATCGATGGTGAGGTGTCCCCAGGTGTCCCGTGGTGTCCCGTTGAGTGGTATCGATAGTGAGGTCGATGGTGAGAATGATGTGGTGTCCCGAGGTGTCCGTGGTGTCCCGTGGTGTCCTTTGGTGTCCCGTTGAGTGAGATCGACAGTGAGATCGATAGTGATACAGATGGTGGGATCGAGAGGTGTCCCGCGGTGTCCCGTGGTGTCCCGTGGTGGCCCGTGGTGTCCGGTGGTGTCCCGTTGAGTGACATCGATAATGAGATCGATAATGAGATCGACAAGTATCCCGTGGTATCCCGTGGTGTCCCGTGGTGTCCCGTGTTGTCCCATGGTGTCCTGTTGAGTCAGATCGATAGTGTTACGGATTGAGTCAGACGTTGGTTCCCTCCCCTTCTCCCCCCCCTCTGCAACCTCCTTATCACCCGAAGGGTGGTCGTATAGGTATATTTCAAGGGCATAAAGACGCCCCTACCCTGGTTTACGAGGCGCTGTTCGCTGAAACTCCTGTGGGCTGACAGGGTACACCCTGCGTGATGTGCCGCGTCCTGGCGGCTCTAGGCTTTGGGGATTCCCAGGAGGTTCACAGACCACGCACTTGTAACCCAGGGTAGGGTCGTTTCATCCCTCAGTTATTAGACCTCCGTCGTGCTATCCAGCTCATCGCGCGCCCGCCTAGCTCTTAACCGGAAGAGGCCCACTCTCGACGCGCCGACCAAAAAGTGCTATCCAGCTCATCGTACAGCGAAGCTTTACCCTAGAGGAGGAGGAGGAGGAGGAGGAGGAGG